CGAGAGCAAAATAATCTCCATCAAGTATGGATCGACGCCTTAATTTGACAAATTCTCCATTGAGGCTCCTATGGGACTCTAAAGAAGAAGCAAGTAGTTTTGACCATAAGAAACCCATCTCGTTATCACACGAAGTAAAAGGTTGACTATCTCGCTGGACAGTAAAACGATTTGTGGGGGATTTTCAGAACCCGAGTTGCATGGTATTATTCCATTTGAATATCTTGAAGACAGCCCTTCCATGGTACGCTGCAAAGACGGTTTCTTGCTCTTTACTTACAAAAATTAAACTGACCCTTTTGATATGAGTCTCCGGGCTATCAAAAAAAAGCAGCAAATTACAAGAGGTTTTACGTCGCCCTCCAACAACAGGCCAATAGCAAGAAGAACTACGTGTTGCAATTCAAAGAAAGGTCATTATTTTGAGTGAAAAAAGGCTTGCTTCACGAACTGTCTTCAAAGGCTTGTGTAGACTTTCGTACACATATTGCTATTGCTCGCACGTGAAGTCAAATGACATTATAATACACGGTTTGGTGTACTGCGCCTTTTTCTTCCATGTTAGAGATTATCGGTGCGCCGGGCCGAGTGGTTGCGATGTTGGTCACGGCCCACGTTGAACCGAGTTCCACCTCCCACTTTTCTCCAGCAGTCATCAACGTCCTATGGAATCCACAGCAAGGCTATCCTCAAAATTGCTAGAAGATTTGCTCAGTCAGTAATCTACGCTGTTCAAGAAGAAGAAGAAGAACGGATTGACTGCTAGAAGTACTGGGATCCGCACAATGGAAAAAAAAACTCTGATGACGGATCAAATAAAGCGCTAAGTTAAAAAATGTTAGAGGCATACGCTACCGCCAACCATTAACCTTTGTAGCATTCTATGACTCTAGGAAGAGAAATAGTTTTGCAACAAAAAGTCATTCTTTTGATTCTTTTTGCTGAAGTCTGTGTCGCTGGAATACAAAGGCGAAAATGAAGAGTAAAATAACCATTTGTTTCAAGCATTATCAAAAAAATTGCCTTCAAAAATAGGGTCACCAAAATGGAGATTGATCACGTCCACATAGAAGGTATCTGCTGACTTTACATTTCCGCAACCACCATTGCACACTGAATCCGATCAACTTCTCCGAAATTACAAATTTTGGTTCAATCGCATATTCTAAGAAAGTATTCTTATAGTTTAGAAGGAAGAGGCAAGTCGTTTGAGGAAAAAAACATTTTAGCACAATCCCTTACTGACCTCGTTTGGAGCTCCGATGGAGATCTACAACGCATTTGACGAAATAATGAAAATCCTCTTAGAATACACCGATTTTTAGAACAAAGAGTAAATTTTATCGTCGCTGCCACCAAGAACTTGCAAGCAAAGAGAGAAAAGTTGAGGGTAAATCCGTCCGCCACGTATATAACATGGCTGCTAATAAACAACTGCAAAAGACTTCTTCAGAAGAGTTTCCAATTGCAATAATCACGAAGAACTCAAAAGAACAGCTATCATAACTCAAATCAGTGAAATATTTCATCGCAGTTACTGGAAAGCAAAAGAGTACATCGTAAGCGCGCGTATTGCGCAGTGGAAAAAGGTTAGCAACAGAAGTTCAGTCATGTTGTTTCCTTACCTGTACATTCAACTCACCAATCCCTTGACCTCTTTGTAGCCAGCAAGCTGAAGCCGACGTTTCCTTCAGGAAACAAAACTTCATACTTGATCCAACACGTTCACTGAAGAAAAGGTGTCCGAGTCTCTTGGCTTTCAACGTCCGAATTGTCACCAAAATATGTAAAGAGACAGTACAACTTGAAGACCAAATTTAGCTCGCCAAAATTCTTGAGCTACAAATAAATCAAATTACCCCTGCTTCCTGAAAACTGCAGTAATAAGCAATCACACAAGAAAAAGGCTTATGGACTCATGGAGCACCATGCACGGGGATAAACTTCCAACAAAAATAGCCAGAATAATTATGTGAAAGTCTCTACAAGTTGCCATACTTTGTATATAGCTCTATTTTGATCAGGATCACATGAAAATTTGAAATGCTTGCAGAAATCTGTCGATAGTAACAAATAGTCCTATTCCAACTTCAAAAGTTTGTCACTACTAAAAAGAAGGGTTCCTTTTTGTGTAACCTATTCAATATTACCAGCGGAAGGGATCGTCCCACAGCGCCACAATATCTCTCAGGGGTGAATTTTGGAGAATACAACAACATGTTAAGAGGTCGAGCATAACACGAGACCATGCACATGCGATCTGCCACAACCATCTCCTTATAATGTCTAGGGTATATGGATCGAAAGGACCACCGGAGTTGGTGCAGCTGTCCGACGTGATTACATCAGAACAACGGAAAGGTGGACGACTATTGCCGAATCAGAGAATGATGCATACACTTGTCTCTATCCATGAAGGAGACCACTAGATTTTCTGCCGTGGTTGAGAGGGGACGTAAGAGCCAATGTCCTGGAATCTAAACTCTTCTGAAGGAGGGCACTGGGGTATCAACCAATCCAAGTGGTATAAATTCTCAAGACCGGCTATGGAATAACCTCGGGATAATTGGAATAAATCAGTAGTTCTTCTGTTAACCAGTTTTTGAGGTGTAATAACAGTATTCATTGAATATCAGTGATGTAATAAAATAATGCAATCTAGATTACAGAGTAAACAATATTATAAGAAAAGTTATGCAAATGTTGAAAATTGTTGTCTTGAAAGTATCGATAAATCAAATTAAAATTCACTATGGTATGGTGGAAATACTGTTGAGTAATTGAGAATATTTCTTCAATGGAGGAAAGTTAGTTCTTTCTAGTGCACGTTGATACTTCTTTGATTTAGGAGCTTTTGGACCAAATTCTTCTTTGGTTGGGATTGGTTGGTGAATTGATTTACTCGGTTGCTGGACTTGTTGGATTGACTGGCGACCGTCCATGGAAACCGCTAGCCTTCATTTTATTTTTTGTTCATATTTTCAGACTCATACAGGTGAGACACTCTAAATGCTGAGGTAAGACGTGATTGGGTTCTAGACTTTCATGATGAAATTACTATAAAAAATGGTGTTTTTTTGAACCGATGTTGTGTGGAACCAATTTTTCACATTTTAGGTTGGAACCCAAACTTTCCTTATCTATCTCGCAGCCAGAGTGAGGGTTGGTAGTTCAAATAAAGAGGATCAGCCAGGGAAACAAGTCATCACCTTCCTTCTTGTTGCGAACCTCTCAATGTTCTTGATGAATCTTTTTGAGAGTGAAAAGCCCGGTATTTCCGAGAGTATCATAGGTGGAAGTTTGCTATTACCATTATCCTCACTGATTTTCAAATTTTATATTGCAGATTTTTACGGCAAACGATCATGGGTGTTTTTGGTTCGCAGTTTCTCACCTTTGACCATCTTCTACCGATTTCATAGCTCCGTTTGCTTGGCGGAGATCTGGAAAAATGTTTACGCTAATAAATAAATATTTTCTCTATATTGTCCTTTATAATGAAAACTACACCATAATTTTTGTTAAACAGTCTAAGAAATCTCTTGATTTGAATGAATTACCTAAGAAATGTTCCTTCAACATCCTTCAGATTCTTCATCATTTATAATAGGTTGGGGAAAATGCTTGTAACTTTTTTGGGTGCCGGCCATTTTTTGTTTTTTTTTTTGGCTCATTTTGAAGCTCGTCTTCTCCCGCGTTAACTGGTTTATAATTTATCCACTTATTCTAAGATGGAGTTAACAAGCAAGCAAATTTGTTTGTTGGTGACAAGCGAATGGCTGTTGGGTCAAATGCAACGGGGGCAAGTGAACGCACAGCTCGACGATCGACTTCTTTTGGACGACCTGAACTCGGCTGATCTTCCAAATTTCTTCACCCTCCTCAAACCTTTTGAACCACCTGTACACCGTACTTTCGTCAACTATGTTTTCGTTCCAAGCCAAATTGATGTGTACACCTGGTACCCTTGCATTTGAACCCAACAGCCATTCGTGCACCATCAGCAACCTAATTTGCTCGTTTCTTTACTGCATCTTGAAATAAGTAGATAAATTATATGCTAATCAACGCGGGAGAAGACGGGCTTGCAATTTAACCCAAAAACACAAAAAATGGCCGATACCCATACAAGTTACAAGCATTTTCTCAGAACTTTTTCCCCAACTTATTATTATTGTGGAAAAACTTAATACACTGGCAGCAGGGAGTGCACCATACAAATAATGCGATAGCCAAGTAAATGCATGGAAAATGTTTCTCCTTGGAAATGATTACCGGCAAATCGTATTACCAGCTGTGTGCAACATATTTTAGTCTACCGCATATAAAAATCGCCGGAATCGCTGTTGTTATTGGAGATTTATTGTCTCAAATTGGGTGACTTTTTGGTTCAAAAGTCCAACAAGTGTGTTGAAGAAGCATAAAGGGCTAAGCACGATTGCATAGAAATTTTGGCGAACACATACTCCACCGTTCAAAACATTGATGAAGACTATGAAATCAAATCCCTAAACCGCGGATGACCTCACCTGAGGAACACAATCAGCTCTTTGGATTCAAATGCAAGACACCAAAACAAATGAAGGGCCTCTTTGTAGTATTCAGTGTCAATAAAACGTTTTGGCTTTGGATACAGATTCATGCAACATATCTTAGTTTACCACTCCTAAACGAAATCAACAATCCGAGATTCAGCGTTGCTCCTAATAAGTTATTATAAATTCTTCTTATATCTTCTGGCCTCTGGTTGACATAAATCTGCTTTTTTATGGAAGACCCCACCTAGTTTATGTATAATGCAATCATTTTTCTAGATTCAAAAGAGTACGTTGACATGACTATCGGGTCATTTTCCGATTTTGCTCGGCACCAAAGTTGTACAGGCACTGTAATCGGAATTTGTTCACATTCGAAACTCGCCTGCTATACTTCACCTTCAATCGTATTGAGAAGCTTAGCATATCAACAACCTAAGCGAATTGAGTAGTGAGCAAAAATACGACTTCAGACGGGACTCGAACCCACGCCCCATCCACACTGATCACGCGTGCTACCATTACACCACAGCGGCTCATTTGAGCCTCCACTCATTCTTCAACATCTCTAAGATAGCTGTCAGCCACCTGCCCTTATCACGTTTGGTCGAGTATGCGATTTTGCTTTATAAACCCACTTGAGCCGACAGTATACAATTAGATATGATATGCGGTAATTCTAGTGATTTTAATCAAATTGTTACTAGATTTACCAGAATTTTGCTGGAATTATTACTAGAATTCTAGTAAAATTACTAGAGCATCCGAGTATTGTATCAAACCTAGCATAATAAAAAGACGTAGAGATAATAGTAGCGCATCGTTGCCATTGGACCCTACGTGGTGGAATGTGATGGGCCCCAACAAAGTTCATTCAGCTAAGTAATTTTTCTAGTCGCGAGTGACGTGTTAGGCGACTAGTCGCGGGTGATGTGTTAAGCGACTTTTCTGCTCTGTCTGAGAAAACTGCTACATTTTCGACAAAAATAAATCTCTTTTTGCGCTCAAATCAAAGACTATCACTTCCGTATAGTTGTCTCACTCTCGTATAACCCTGTCCACCTTTCAGAACTATATTGAATTCTTAATCTAGTAAAAGAGCGGTTTCAATATGTTTCTGTTCGAAGTTAAAAAGACTGCTTAAGCAGTCTGTATAATTAGGAATATTCTTATGTCAAAACTTGTATCTAGATGCATTCAGCAGCTCGGCGGTTCTCAGCGAAGTCAATTTTTGGTGCGCGAAAGTTTCGCCCTTATCCTCGTCTTTTACAAGGTTGACCTTCGATTACTCAGTTAATTGGAGATTAATGCCGCAATTCAACTCAAATCTTGGGACGGCCTATCTCAGCTCAAGATGAAACTTAATGGTAGCTACGGGAACTACTAGAATCTAATCCTTCTTGCGAGCCAGAAGCAAATTTATTTACGTAAGCTTCCTAGAAATTTTGGAGAAGATCAAATCATCAAAGGCTGTTTCGGTTCAAGCTCGATCTTCTTTCTATGCGCTTTTCCCACAAGAAGTCATCAAATGCCCAAAATTGACTGATTACTAGTTATTAATAGTCTAGGGGAAAACCTTTTTACACCGATTGAGGCATGGTCGAAAGGTATTACATTTAGCTATTAATGGCCTGAGATCGCAAGCACTGAGCAGCATCATTTTTGAAGAACTACTCACTATTTTATATTTTTCAGTGACTATGATAACTTTTGGATATTACACATAATAAAATATATAGAAATTAGGTATTCATATGTTTAAACGGCGACAAACGGATATTTTACCTCATTCGTTGGACAACATGCTTTCCAGGAATGTTAGTAATCGTTCGGTTTAGATTTCTAGCTATGGTCTCACGTGGCCAACTTTTCAAAGCCCCTTCTTATAACGCTATAAAAGTCAAACTATAATAATATTTCACACCCTCCGCGCGCCCTCATTTTTCTCACGGGTATAATTACTTGAAAGCACTAAAAGCATATGAATGTGTAGAGCAAAAAACGTAATATCTGAGTCAGTCGTTTTCAAAAGGAGTTTCTTTTGAAACGGAGAAAATTTCCCACTTAAAAACAATTTGAGCCCCACACATCTAACCCGTGTCGATCGATCGCCCCACCCCCTCCTCTCCACAGCGACTTAGTCGGTAAGCAAGGTCGCCAGACATGTAAAGCATGATCTTATTTTCCTTACTACACTGCAGCGAAGCGCTTTTTCTCAGAAAATAAGTGCAACATTGGGAACATTGAAGCCTTCGCTATCGAATGACTACTAATAGTTTAGAGAAAGATCTCTGTTCGGTGGTGAAAAGCAATCTTTTCTTTCCCTACAGCGCTGTCAAGAGAGCTTCTCCAAAAAGCAAGCACATTTCTGAGTTCTTTGAGACTTCTGCTATCGAAAGAGTGCTAGCAGTCTGAGGAAGGATTTTGTCCAACGAAATGTAAACAAGATTAGAGGTAACACATGGTGGTGTAACAAATAAGTTTATTTTGGTTTTTGCAGCTTTATGGGTCTTTTGGATGGCCGACCATTTACGACTCTGAACCAGAGATTTAAGCTTTCAAATATCTGTTAACAATCTTATGAAAAAATCTTGTCCAGCAAATGAGGTCGAGTACCTAAATCTTTAACTAGTGCGCTACGCGTTCTTTTTTTTTGAAAATATCCTTTCATAAGGCTGTCAAATTCAAAATAAAATTACGTTTCACATTGGCGGCGCATAAGTATTGATTCGCTGTAGGCACGAGAAGCACATGAACATGTACAGAAAATCCTTTAGTATCAGAGTTGGACTCTTAACCTGAGTTTAGTTTGAGGCGGAGAAACAATTCTATTCCAATGTGACCAGCTGAAGAGCCAATCGATCGACGGCCGTTTTGAAACCGCGGCATCAGCCCTGCACTACCTCCTCCTCCTCCCCTCCCCACCAGTATAATAACAAAACACATGCTGACATGTAAATCAATTTTACTTGCCTTGCCGTAGTACTGAGAATCGGTCTTTCCAGAAGATAAGTACAACATTAGAATCTCTAAATCTTAGCTATTGAATGACTACCTATAATCCAAAGAAAAAGCTTTGTTGCATGAAAAATGCGTGACTAAAACACAAATGTTTTACTTTCGTTAAAACTTACACAAAGGTCTTTTTGAAAAATGTGCTTGTATCTCACTAACCAGAGATTTAGGCTTTCGAATAATTACTGACAATCTTCTGAAAGCTCTGGCCCAGTGAGAGGGTCGAGTATTCATTTGTCGTCGCCTAGAGGAACAGTACCTGATATTCTTTGTACAACTTATTACAATCAACATGAAGCAAACAATAGCATAACTACGTAGTGAAAGAAAATTGTTACTCATACATAAGAGTTACATTTGCTCTAAAAGCATGTGAGATATCGAAGTGTGACAAGCTTTTCCAAAATGGACGAAAGAACTTCAACTAGATAGGTAAAACTGCACGCTGCTGCTGACCGCACTGCGCACGGCGATTCTAATCGTGGTTACAAAAGGATTGAGAGCCAGCTGTTGACAACTTTCATAGTTAACATAGAAGAAAGAGTACTAGCAATGAGTCGGTCTTTGCTGTGTAGTGGCAGCACGCATTCCGATATGAATAAACTGCGAGTTCGACTCTCGCCTAGGTTGGTCGTTTTGCATCAAACTTGACTTTGTTGGATCTATATTTACAACATCAAAAACACTTTTTATAAGAGAGCAAAATAAAGACTTCGTGTGAAGTGTACTTCAAATTTTGATTGCATGTTTGTCAACACATTGAAGATGGAAGCATTCTCTGTGTACTGATCTTACATGGATTCAGCGACTTCACTTCATAGACATTGTAGAACTTCCAGGCCAGCTCGTTGACTAGGAGCAATTTTCGCGATGTGCGAAATCGAACCAGGGACGTCTTGTACTGCAGTCTACAACCAGAGGACTGCGCAACCTCAGCCTCAACGATGCGCTTTATCATTCGATATAAAAGTCACTAGAGTATATGGATTTTAGCTAGATAGGGAAGGCATGTTTGTTTCTAAACGGTATAAACATACGTTTCGTGAGGAGGTAAATCTTGTAGTGACATTTCCATCATTACTGATTGTTGTAAAATTTTCCTGCCAACTAATTGTTCAGGTGTTCAAACAAAATTGGAAATGTCCACGGTTGACGACATAAATGAGCTGGAAGGTTGCAAAAGCAGATTATCCTACGTGATGGCTTATTTCGCCTTTGTACGGTGATCAACCTGGCAGAAATATTTTGCAGTCCCTTTCATCATTATTCTTACAAAGTTTCAATAATTTAACGTGTCTACAGAACTAAAGATATATGGCAAAAAACGTCCTCCGTATATCCCAAACCGACCACAGCAAAAACCATGCTGGAAGAGCTAGAGAGAATTGAAGTGATTGCTGACTTCTTGCAAAGCTTTCGAACTGTTTCGCGTCGACCGTCTTCTATTAACATCTGCAGTACCCAATGCTATTAGATTCAGCGCAAATGAGTCAGTTCGTTTTATGTGAGATCATATTGTCCGTTATGAGAAAATGGTAGAGAATTGGATAGCTTTCACCCTTCCTTCAACTTTATTCGTCTTATGCGACAATTTTTGAAATGGAAAAATTCTTCGTTCGGATTGTAAGTGAAAATAGAATCGCACGTAGAAAATTGATCAATGTGTATTTCATGCAGCATTCTTATCGGAATCATCTGAAATAAGACAAAATATCATACGTAGGCCCCACAAACGACTGTTTTGATTGTACACATTGATTGGCGGAAACATCTGAGCGAAACATCTACAGCATATCTGTCTCAAATTCGACATCGTCGTAGATTTCATTTGACTCTAACGCCAATTAATTCAATACCATCGCCATTTGATAATGGTTCCGAATATCTAGTGAGATTTGGTTTTTATAATTCAAAAAAAGGCATTTTTTTTACCAATAATCACTCTCCACCTTTCTTCGCGGAATTCTTCTGCTTGTTCTCTAAAAATTAAACTATAAAGAATAGAGCTTCTACTAGTTCAAACATATAAAGATACTTATAAAATAAATCCCACATTAACGCTTTGATCATTCTATCATAATTCAATCGACCTATTACAATACTATACTATACTTACTATTGCGCAAAATGATCGATTGTTAGAAAACAGCATAACATTAGATTAGCCAAATATTCAGAAAAAATCACTGGAGAATAGAACTATTCGAATATCAGAAAGCTCAAAGTAAGATTTAATTAAGTGACATGACACGTATAAGTGAACTAACCTGCATGAAGTGAGGAGCTTGGTTGAGTATCCCTAACTGCTTCTTTCTCTTCCCCGCTTCCTTTTGGTGATCCTTTTTTCTCATCGCTTTTCTTTTCATCGTCTTTTTTTTCATCGCCTTTTTTCTCGTCGCTTTTCTTTTCATCGTCTTTTTTTTCATCGCCTTTTTTCTCATCGCTTTTCTTTTCATCGTCTTTTTTTCATCGCCTTTTTTCTCATCGCTTTTCTTTTCATCGTCTTTTTTTTCATCGC